TCACACGAGCCCTCCTTGGGCTCCTCCACGGCCTCGCCATTTGGCGAGCGCGCGGGGGAGCCCAGGAAGGGCTCGCGCGAAGGCTGCCTTGGCTCCCTCGCGGCCTCGCCATTTGGTGAAGCCGCAAGGGAGCCAAGGGAGCCTTCACACGAGCCCTCCTTGGGCTCCTCCATGGCCTCACCATTTGGCGAGCGCGCGGGGGAGCCCAGGAAGGGTTCGCGCGAAGGCTGCCTCGGCTTCCTTGGCTCCCTTGCAGCCTCGCACGAAGAGCCAAGGGAGCCTTCACACGAGCCCTCCTTGGGCTCCTCCACGGCCTCGCCATTTGGCGAGCGCGCGGGGGAGCCCAGGAAGGGCTCGCGCGAAGGCTGCCTTGGCTCCCTCGCGGCCTCGCCATTTGGTGAAGCCGCAAGGGAGCCAAGGGAGCCTTCACACGAGCCCTCCTTGGGCTCCTCCATGGCCTCGCCATTTGGCGAGCGCGCGGGGGAGCCCAGGAAGGGCTCGCGAAGGCTGCCTTGGCTCCCTCGTGGCCTCGCCATTTGGTGAAGCCGCAAGGGAGCCAAGGGAGCCTTCACACGAGCCCTCCTTGGGCTCCTCCACGGCCTCGCCATTTGGCGAGCGCGCGGGGGAGCCCAGGAAGGGTTCGCGCGAAGGCTGCCTCGGCTTCCTTGGCTCCCTTGCAGCCTCGCACGAAGCCTCTCTCGCCTAGACTGTGCTCCCGCCGGGCGGCAGGGGCACGATCTAGGAGAGAGAGGCTTCATGCAAGGCTAGGCCCCGCACGAAGCCTCTCTCGCCTAAGCTGCGCCCCTGCCGCCCGTGCTAGGCCCTGCACGAAGCCTCCCTCGCCTAACCCGCGTTCCTGCCAGCCGGCGGGATCGCGATCTCGGCGAGGGAAGTTTCATGTAAGGCAGCCATTTTGAGGGGGCGGGGCCAACCGAGGCCCCTTCGCGACCCCCAGAAAATGGCCCAGCGACCCCCCTGGGGGTCGCGACCCCCAGGTTGAGAACCACTGCTCTAGAACATGGCCATATAACCCGAAAAAACCTACAACAACCCAACATAGCTACTCTTTAGTAGTAAGGATGTAATGACATAGCATTAGTGTTACTTTGGGGATGTGACAAGTAACAACAATTACATTTATTTGTAATTTTAAAATCTCCTACTTAGAACCAAAAGGATAAACATGGGGTCCACCAAGGAGGAGAGAAGGGGCTTGGCCCTGCTTACCCACATCTCCAACATCCTTTAAAAGGACTAATAAAATGGGTATGATTAGCTCAGAGGCCTCATCTCATCCCAAAATGGATTTGTACTCCATGCTAAAGTCACTCAACATTGTGACAAAATTAAATGGTACATAAGCATCCACCAAAAAATGTATCGGAAAACCTAAATAATTCCAAAGTCATCCAATAAATGAAGAAGATGAGTGAGACTGACATTTCTAAGCAATTCCTGGGTTGGAGAAGGAAACCTAGCTTGTAGGGATGCAAACTCTAATCTGGGTTCACTTCACATATACAGCTGCCACCTGACATCAACCAACTGGCTAATTTTCCTGACTCCACCAAAGTCTGAAAAACCTTTTGGAAAGGAGAAGGAAGCCAAAGCCAGAAGAAAAGATGACATCCTCCAGTGTAATTTGCAACACTATTCTTTAAAAGCTAAGACAATGAAAAAGTAAAAAGCTGCACAACATGTTGCCTCCTTTTAAAATGCAAAATTTATCTAAACTGGGTTGTTGTAGGTTTTTCCGGGCTATATGGCCATGTTCTGGAGGCAATTTTTCCATATAGCCTGGAAAAACCTACAACAACCCAGTGATTCCGGCCATGAAAGCCTTCGACAATACATTTATCTAAACTATTTTGGGTTGCCCTTGCAATGAGTTATATAAGTGCTTTTCGAAAATAACACAGGGATACCACCACTATTTATCTGGCAGGAGAGACCTTGGTGCCTTCTGTAATGAAATTATTGGTTTACTTGTTGAGTTCTTGAATCAGCATTTTTATGTTGATGCTGTATGTTGCTAGTCTTTGAAGACATTTTCTGTTTACCAACTCAAGCACCCTAGAGTGCTTCCACCCTGTTCTGGTGGATTGAGGGACTCGCTGCCCATCAGACGATACAAAGGAGCTTCCTTTGGAAGCACCTCCTCCAACTGGAGGGAAAGCATCACTGGACACTTCTTCTCCAGTTGGAGGAGGAGCTTCTAATGGAAGCCCCACCCTCAAGCTTTGCTGGCGGCTTCCCTCTCAACATGGGAAGACAGCACAGGGCCTCCTGCAATGGCGATGCTTTCCCCATGTGATGGGGAAAGCATTGACGAGAGGGAACTATGCGCAGTGGGAGCTATGCGCTTCCTCCCAGAAGCCCAGAGAAATGGGATGCTTTGCCAAGACTTTATAATGAAGTCATTTGACTCTTTAGTAAACTTGGAAGCAATTAGCACGTTTCTAGGTATATATCTCAATCTGGAAGAACATTCAATGGGATATTGTATGATACTTCAACTTGATAACACTGAAGAAACTCACACGGTGACATTGTTCCATTTGGCCTTGTGTCTTGCAGAAAATATAGAAATGTAATGACTCTCATGGTAGATAATCCTGCAGCTGTGTCTTATAGTGCTGATGCTGAACATCTAATCACCAGAAATGTCACACTTAGTCCATAATCAAAAGCAGATCCTTGACCATGTCAGAAAAGAAATGCCAATACATCTAATACATCATTCATTGAATGTAATCTAAGGATATCTGTGCTTGTACTGTATAGACAAAAAAACCCAAGAGCACACTTAAGGCACAAGCAAAGAAACTCATAGGAATGGTTCAAAGGGATTTTCCAAGAACTGACAAGAAGCTGCTTTTGCCCATTTCTAGATGGTGATGATCCAATCATTTTGCAATAATTTTTGACATATTTTGCACAATATGCCAAAATTATGGAACTTTCTTATCTGATACTGTAACTCTGCAAATGTTGTTAAACAAAGTTTTTATATACAGATACAAGTCAATTGTTGGTTTTGATTAGTGGAGTAGTTGTTTCCAATAATATATTAATATCAATATATTAATTTAGGGTTCTACAGATATGAAGAAGTCACTATTTATTAATGGGGGAACCAATTTCAGACACTAAAACTAATAGGCTTTGAGACACATAAGCAGGAAGGATTAACTCCAGCAAAATTAACTGTGGGAAATCATTACTAATGCCATGAAAGAGCTAGAAATTCCATTGTTATTAAATAGCAATTGTATTAATTTGAGGAAGGAAATATAGTGAAATCATAAAATCAATTATTTGTCTAGTAAACATCCCAGATTCCCAGATCTCAGGCTCAGACTCCTCTCCCCTTACTGTAGGAGAACACTGCCTTCAAAATAAAAAGATTTTTTCCCATGCTATGCTGCTCGTTGCCACTCTTGCAGGCTGCTTCAGAGCAGGTAATATAGATAATTGAGGGAGCATCTGGTCAGCTCGTTTTCTTGTTCCTCTCCCTTTTAATTTCTCAATGGAAACCACCATCAGACTCTGCAAGTAGGAGTCATCTTCTGTTCCTCTGCCTTAATTATTATGG